CTTCCTTCTCCCTCTGGCCTTGGAAAATAATTTGAATCCGCTGAAGAGTTAGTGCCATTCCGTCAGATGAATGTGCTCCAGCCGGTGGAAGTAGGTTGAACTACCTGAGGGCTCTGAACCAAAGGTTCTAGAACAGAATTCCACGTTCCAGCTTCCTCTGCAGACAGGAGCTGGCTGTTAGGATGAGGTCTGATGAGCCACCGACTTACAGAAGAGGCGCCCACGATGGCGGAGGGGAGGGCCCGCCACAGCGGGAGGCCACAGCCGGAGCGGGCAGGCTCACGGTGCAGGTGCAGGTTTCTTTCCAGACAATGACCTCCCGGCTGGGAGGGAGGAGGTGCGTGCCATCGGCCAGGGGTGCTTGGAGGGGTGCCGTGGCCTCCAGGTGGAAAAATAAAAGCAAAACTAAATGACAGTAACTACAAGTTCATTGTGAGCAGGGCGCGTCCCCTTCCCCCGGTGGTAGGTGGAATGATGGCGTCCAAAGATGCCCATGTCCCACCCCCGAACCTGTGAGTACGATGCCTCACACGGCGAAAGGGACTTGCAGATGTGGTGAAGGTCCAAAACCCTGAGATGGGGCGGGTCCCCCAAACCCCCCCCCACCCCCCGGCCTGAACCCTCAAATGTGGAGAAGCCATCCAGCTGTGACCCAAAGGGAGGGGCCTGGGGAAGCATGGGCAGAGGAGAAAGCCAGGCGCTGGCGGCTTTAAGGAGGGCGGGGGGGTGGCAGACTCTAGAAGCCCCAAAGGCAGAGACCTCTTCTCCCCAGGCCCCCCCCAAAGGAACGCAGCCCTGCTGACACCCCAGCCTCACCCTGTGAGACCCGAGGGAGCAGGGTGTCAGTCACGGCGGAAACCGGGAAGCAGGAGGGAACGCTCTGTGCCAGCTTTGCGGTGTTTTCTGTAAATCTAAGCGCTACTCTGAAATGAAAGGTATCTTTAAAAATACAGTCACCCAGGCCCCGTCCCTGACCATTTAAATCAGAACCTCTGTCTCGGAGGTCAGCGTGGGGCTTCAGAATGCTCTCTCGGTGACTCAGCCCCGCCGCGGTGACAGCCACTTTCTAAAGACACAGTAACAGTGACCTTCGCAAACTTAAAAATCCAGAGAAAAATAAAAATGAAAGCCCCCTCTTCCTGTCGCCTAGTGGAGCCCGCTGTGTTTTGGTGACTGGCCTTCCACATTTCCCCCACGAGATACCTACATTTATTACTGTCCCTGTCGTTGTTACTGTTAAAACACGAAACCGGGGCTCTGAGAGGCAGCCCCATCGCCCCAGGGCCTTTGAGCTCACCTGCCTCCTGCATCCTGTGTCTTCAGGGAGGATGCGGCCCGCCCAGGGGAGAAGCCAGAGTGGCTGGTGTGGAAACGCTCAAACCCAGCAGACAGGTGTGCCTTGGCAATGCCGCCTGCTGGTGAGTGAGGCCCGGCAGGCCTCCAGCTGTCACAGGCCAGCTAAAG